CACCGCCTTCCCCGCCCCTCGGACTGGCGCCGAGCCCCCAAACCCGACCGGCTTGGGCTCTCAGCCCTGCCTGGCCAGGGCCGGGTCCTCCGCGGAGAGCTGGGTGTGACTTTGGCCACCGGCTGGCGGGACCCCAGTCCGCCCCTTCCCCTTCCTTGTCCTTATCCCATTCCTCACCTTGGGAGAGGCTTAGGAGAGGCCGCGGGCTCCGATTGGACCGCCGGGCGCTGCCGGATGGTGTTGCCACGGTAACCGGATGGCATACGAAGCAGTTTGAGGTTCCGACCCGGTTACCGGTATGCCCAGTGGACCCAGAGAGAGTTGTTTCCAGGAGGGGCCTTTCCTGAAGCGAGGGCTAGGGGCGTCTGGAGCTGGGACCGTGGGAAAAGTTTCCTGTGGCAGCGCCTTGCTCAAGGAGCTAGTTCAAGAGGCTGCTGGAGGCAGGGAGGGACCTTCACCAGGGTTGAGGAAGAAGAAATTGCTGCGTTCGTGTCAGTTCTCTGGCATCTCCGGAGTGTCCCCACTCCCTCGCCTGCGGCAGCTGCTGGAACAGGCCACACTCAGAAGCAGTCCCAGCTGCGCTCAGCTTCGCAGCCTCCTCTCTCCCCTTGCCGCTCTTCATTACAGAGCGCTGACCCCTTTCCCGGGCCCCAGGACAGCCACTATGCACAGACTGTTTTTGCAAAACACAGGATCCAGGCAGAGGGTGGACCCCCTTCTGGACCAGAGAAGGGAGGCACAAGGCAAAGCCGCTCGGTGGCAGGCCAGCCCTGAGGACCAGAAACCTCAGACAAAGTTCCAATTCCCGGTGCCCTTTCAGGTCTCCAGCCTAGTCAGCAGAGGAAGGACCAGCAGGAGGCATGGGTGGGCCAGATGTCACAGTTGAGGACCCAAGTGGGCACTCATTCAACCCCGCTGGCTCTCCACTTGCTCACCTGTCACCCGGGCTTTCCCCTTCGTTCCACAAAACGATGTTTGTGGGGCTGGAAAGAGATGGCCTCAGGCACCGTAGAACTATTAGGATGTAGGAACAGGTCCTTGGTGCAGAGCAAGTCCCCGAAGCAGTCCAGAGAAACACCAGCATGAGACAGCACTCGGCCTACCTTGCCACTCTGGGCTCATCCCCTTCCCTAGAACCCTGTCCGTGAGGTTTGGAGGGGAGCAGCGCTCACCCAGGGGTCCAAAGGGCAGGAGGAGAGCTAGGAACAGGCCAGGGCAGCATCACCTCGAGAGAAGGGGCTGCATTGCTGCCACCTAGCGGGAAGAAGTGGGGCGCCGCCAGCACAGCCTTCCCTCACACCTCACCACCACCCTCCTTCTGGGATCCAGGCCTGGGCTGGCTGCAAGAGCAGAGGAGGTATGGTCTTCAAGCTGCTCAGGTCCTATGCTAGGAGTGCTCCCAACTGGCTCTGCCCACCCCGCACCCCACTCCCAGCCGTTTTTCCCACTCCTTCGGGAGGCAGCCACATCGTGTCCATATATAGAACAAAACGGACAGGATTGTTAGGAAGCGGCTGTTGTTGGGTGATGTGAAGCTGAACGACTCTGGAACAGAGTGGAAGCCCTGGTGGCGCTGCGGGGTAAGCATTCGACCGCTAACTGCAAGGTCTCTGGTTCAAACCCACTGTTCTCTTTAACAGGAAGATGAAGCTCTCTGGCTCTTGGAAACTTTACCATCTCAGATGCCCAGTACAGGGCCCACTCAGTGTCAAGCGCTTTGGTATGTTTTAGAGAGAGTTTTCTTGGCTGTCGTCTTGACAGGAGCAGGCTGCTCGCTCTCCCTCTCTCGTGGTAGCCGTGTGGGTTTGAGTGAGCACGCTTCCACTGAGCAGCTCAGAGCTGAGCCCTTTGTCCCCGCAGAGCTTCTTAGTGGAAAAGCGACTCCACTGAAATGCATTCTCAAAGTATCAGTAAAACAACGACTGGTATAGCAATAGGTTTCCCCCTGAGCGGTCGCTTGAGTGCGCACCTATCCGTGGGCATAAACAACACGGTAACGCAGACGCCATGGTGCACAGCAGAGGTCTTTGGGGACAGACATCTGATAGGAGGCTGTGACGTCTTTGTTGGCTCTCCACAGGTGCCCTCATTCTTTGTGGGTTTGTCCCACAGTTATGTGAAAAAGAAGTGCTAACTCCTTGCTTCCCACTGACACTGACCCTGGGGTGGTTACTCAAACCTAGGAACCATTGTGAAGCTGGCACGGGCCGGGCCACGGTCCATCCTTGGGTGCAGAGTGTCCCTGTGAGTCAGATCCCACTCGGCGGCACCTAACCCCAACAGCTGCCCTGAGTCCCTTCTGAGGGACCGACCACATGAGGTTCTGTCCACCTATAGAGTTTTCTGGAAGCACATCACTGAGCTTCCACCCAGGATGCCTTGGAGTGGACTCAAACTCACAGCCTTTCAATTAATAGCCACGTATATTCACCCTTTGCACCCCCGAAAAGAAGCTGGTTTTTCTTCTCTACCCAAGTTTAAGGATTTAGAATTCTATCTCCAGCAGGCTGGGGTGCTCACCCCAAGTAGAAGCCCTGGGACTAGGAGGAGAGAAGGCTCACGTGCTTTCAGGACACAAAGGTGGGAGGAAGAATCAATGGTGGCAGAACTCTGGGGGACCTCAGAACTGCCGGAGGGAGGGTGCTCTCCACGCCCTGCCCCCAGCCTCAGGCACCAAAAGATCCCTTCTGGGGCAAGCAGTCTTCTTTTCTATTTTTTTTAATTCCCCATGGGGACCTGCTAACTCTACTCCAACCCTTTCCCAAACAGGCCTCATATTTTGTTTGGGTTTATTTTCTGTTGTGATGAAATCACTGTCGTTTTTTTACACGCTATAAAACAATGAAACCAGGACTTACAGCTCACCATTTAGGAAACAGATTTTCTGTACTTGAACACATCGACCACATTTCTGACTGGCTCATTTTTTCCTCTCCAGGAACCAGGACGGTGAGAATGCACCCCAGGCACAAGTGTACACACAGGCACACAGGCATGCCTACATACACATGCCCACATGGGTACGCACAGTTACACCTGCCCAAGTACACATGCATACACAGGAATACATGCACCCATATATGTACCTAGATGCATACACACGCACACAGATACCCATATGCCCATACCCCACATAAGTACACATGCCCACACAGGTACTCATGTCCCCCCACAGGCATTCACACACAGGTATGCATACACACATGTCGACATGCACAAACGGGCTCACATGAAAGCACATACATACACATGCATGCAAAGGTACACCTGCACAAACATGCACACAGATAGGTATGCACACAGGCCTGAATGTACACCTGTACACATACACACTAATGCGCATACAGGTACACACGCAGACACAGGCATCCGTGCACACACATACACATGCGCACAGGCCTGAATGCACATACATGTATGCATGCACACACAGCTCACACAGGTACATGCATGCTTACCATCTTCAGCATGTCCATTTGCAAAACTGCCCCCTTCTGATCCATGACCTATGACCTATCTGGTCTCTGGGAGGACCTAAGGGAAATCACACTCTTTATCTCCAGGGGGGCACCCAGGGTCTGACTGAGCCACCTCAAGCTGCTCTCTTTTCTGTTTCCCCAGAAAGGAGCAGGCTGGTTGAGGCCCTGCAGGCGGCTCTCTTGGAAGCTATCCTAGGCCTGCATAGCTACTGATTTACCTAATGGCCTTCGCAGTCTTGACTATTTTTAAAACCCATCCAAAGTCAAATTGAGCTGCCATTGTTCATTTCTCTTCCAAGGAGGCAAATGTGTCTTAAGCATGACATTTGATTAAGTAGCTAAGTCTGTGATTCTAAATGGAAGGGGAAATGCTGATTAAAATTATTATGGGTTTCTTTGAAGCATCCCCTCTGCCGTCTTCTCTGCCTCCCTTGTCTTCTTCGCCCCACTTTGTCCCCCAAACAAAACATAGAGGGCAGGAAGGCCCAGGCACTTCTCCACAACAATGCCTCTTTGAAGTTGCTCCCTGTGAC